CAACCCTCGGTGTTGCGCCCGCACCGCGCTCAGCCAGTGAGCAGGAACCGGTCTCCACATAGGATCCGAACCCTCGGCGGGAGCGCCACCGCGCTCCCAAGCGGCACACTCTCCAGTGCGCCACCGGGCCGGCCCAGCAGGTTGATTGTTTTAATGGTTCATTGATTCATCAGGATATAAACAACTCATTATCCCGGATATGTATCCTATATCACATGCTATGATACAGCAAACTATAGCTATATTTGATATTTTTATTCTGTATCTAGAATATTCTGTATTGCTTCCAATTAGACTTTAAAAAATAGTGGTGACATACATATAACATAAAATTTACCTTCTTAACCATTTTTAAGTGTATAGTTCATCAATTAGGCTTTTAAATGCAGAATATTTTCCTAGAAACATATTGATTTTTTAAAAAATCAATATAGCTAAATATCGTGTGGGAGGAAGTCATTAAGGAGCCGTTCAGTTTCCACCGTAGAATCTGGAAAGGCCCAGGACATAGGCACTACTAGGCACTTCTAAAAGGCAGACCATGGGAGAGAGCTGAAAACAGGGAGTGGTTGAGAATGAGGATAAGCAGTCCAGAGTTTGCTTCTAGTACCCTGTGCAGATGGGGCCCCCCACTCTACTCCCATTAACAGAAAACAGGCTTATTTCTGAGTGATCGTACCACTCAGGAAGGGTGAGATGCTGTACTGACAATAGGAGAATTAAGTGGAAGTCTATATGCTGACAAATGAGGCTGCTAGTTCCTGTTCTCTACTGGGTTCCTCTGATGATTTTTCTTTGTGACACTGACCCAAGAGAGAGCCAAGTTACCAATGTTTAGTGTTTCTCCTATGAAAAAAATCAGCTTGTTGCCATATCATCCTAAAATGAAGTCCTGTCAACATGCCCTTCACACTTAGGAAATTTCCATTTAGCGCTGCAGCACCTTCCTCATTAATATCATTATTCACCTGAGAATCACCAGACATTTGGAGAAAGTCTCCAACATGAAGACAGAGACCAAAACAAACACACAGAATAAAAAGGAATTCAGAGAAACAGAATTATAGTACAGGGAGCATAAAAGAAAAATTCTTCAATTGAAAACTATAATTAATATCCTTAGATAAGGTTGTAGCCATGAAATAAGAACACTGTGCTACAAAAAAAGTCAAAGAATCAAAATGAGATTTTAAAAAACAAACATTATAGCAAAAATTTAAAAATTAAATTAGAGGGTTGTAAAATAAAGTTTATAATTCGAAATTATATAATTAGAAATTAATTAGGAAATATCAAAAGTAGGAAAAATAAGAAAACGAGGGGCGTCAGTTTATAAGGTTTGCAACTATTCAAATTCCAGAAAAGAAGAACAGAGACATTGGAGGGTAAGATTTAAAGAATTAGTGCAAGAAAAATTCCCAGAACTGAAGGGCATGAGTTTTTAGAATGAAAAAAAGAGTTCACTCAACACAGAACACATGAATAGGAAAGGTCTCACATCAAGGCATGATGTAATGCAGGTTTAGAAGGCCAAGGCTAAGAGATTTCAAATGCTTTGGAGAAGAGAAATAGGTCACTTAGAAAGGCTCAGGAAAAAAAGGAAGAGATTATATTACTTGGTATTTTTGGTCATATTGAGAGTAGTCTCACTGTTGGAGGATGGATTAGAAAATCAATAAAATGGGGGCAGTGACCTATGAAAGGAGAGGTCAGCATAATACAGTTTTTGGCTCTACTTTGTGTAGCCCTTATGAGGTAAGCCCTGAACGTTGATTTCAGGGAGGATGGGGGAGAGAAGGTGCTTTTAGGTGGGTGTGTGCATTGCATTTGTGGGGCCATCGGGTGTGGTGTGAGAGGACTGAAGCCTTTTGAGCTTTCATGTAGGAAGTCAGTAAAACATCTGAAACAGGAAAATCAAGCACTGTCAGTACAGTATTTAGAAATATGGCAATAATTACTAGGAGAAACACTTAAAAGGTCTGAAAGTGGTCACCTCTGGGGAGCTGGAGGTAGTAGGGATTGGAAAGAATAAGTCAGAGGGCTGCTATTATTTGATATAAGAATTGTCTGATTTTTTTTCCCTTAACGTACGCACAAAACTTGGAGCTATCCTTGACTTTTTCTGTCACAGCCCATATCTTATCTGTCGGCAAACCTAGATGGTTCTGTATTTAGAGCAGATCTAGAACCTGAACCCTTCTTGCCACCTCCACTGCTGCCATGTGGGTCCAGCCACCACCATCTCTCACCTGGATTCCTGTAGTGTCTCCTTCCTGGTCCCTGAGCCCCTGTCCTTGCCCCTTTTCAGTCTGTCATCAGCACAGCACCCGGACTGATCAGTTAAAACACAACCAGATTGATTATGTTGCTCTCTTGTTCAGAGCCCTTCAGCAGCTCCCTAGTTCACACAGTCAAAGCCAAAGTCCTCCCAGTTGCCCCACACATGCACACACCACCCTTCCCAGCTTTATTTTCTCCATGGCACTTATCATCCTTGAACATGTTTTTTGTTTTTTTACAAATTTATTTTGTTTCTTGTCTGACTTCTTATTAGAATATAATCTCAGTGAAGGTGGGGATTTTTGCTCATTTGTTCCTTGCTGTATTCCCAGAGCCTAGAATAGTGGTTGGCACATAGTTGTCACTGAATAAAGATTTTTAAAATAAATATATTGCTTTTATAAAAATTAAAAATCAATTAAGGGCCGGCCCGGTGGCGCACTGCTACAGTGCAGCGCTTGGGAGTGCGGTGGCGCTCCTGCCGAGGGTTCGGATCCCATATACAGACCGGCCGCTCACTGGCTGAGCGCGGTGCGGGCGCAACACCGAAGGGTTGCGATCCCGTTGCCAGTCCCGGTCCGGTGCGGGCGCGACACTGAGGGTTGCGATCCCTTGCCGGTCACGAAAAAAGACAAAAAGGAAAAAAAAAAATCAATTAAAAATACCACCAGTTCTTAAGCTATTTACAATAAGCTAGTCTAAGCAGCTCATTGCTTTATTGGCTTAAGCATCCACAAGCAATTTGAAACAGAAATCCTGAGGTGTCTAATTGAAAAGATTTGTTTCCACTTGGAAAATAACCATATGCTGTCCTGAGATTACGCACCTTTAAAAATCTGTGCTCTGTACCATCAGTACTTATTACAAAAATTTATCATAATGTTCTGTGCTAACTATTTATGACTCGGATTGTTGAGTTTCACAAACTTTTGGCAGCTTTTAGGCAGAATATTAGTATATATTTTTAAATCACAGCATCTGCTGAGTGAGTGTAGATAAGCATCATAGACGTCTCCTGTAAGGAGCAAACACTAAGATTCTAGTTCTTACAATGTAAGGGAAATGACCTCCAGCAGTCTTAACCATCAGTTAGCCTTCTACTAGATCATAACAGTCCTTGCTGTGTTTTGTTGCTGACTAAAGTGATTTGTATTTCATTAGGGTATTCATTTTCCTAGTTTTGCTTCTCTTCTTAAGATGCCAAATTAGTGATATCAGTATATTTCCGTGGTTACAGATCACAATTCTGCATACACATGATTAGAATTCACAGCAGGAGAACTGGACTATGAGAAGGAATGATCTTTATGCTAAAACGAATACCTGATTAGCACAGGGAACAAAAAAATGAGGACCAAGGCAAATTACATGTTTTTTCTTCGCACTGCCTGCAAAAGTCTTTCTTGTTGGAAATCAGCTGAAAGATAACCTCCGTCCACACCTCTAATTCTTAAATAGTATAATATGGATAATCTTTGGGTCCACAAAGGACTTTAAGTAAAATATTTCAAAATCATATTTCTCTGATGTTGAATTGTTAGATTATAGCTCATTTCATAGAAATAAATTATATTTGTGTTGTCTACTTGCCATGGGACCAAACTTTGGGTCCACAAAGGACTTTAAGTAAAATATTTCAAAATCATATTTCTCTGATGTTGAATCTGTTAGATTATAGCTCATTTCATAGAAATAAATTATATTTGTGTTGTCTACTTGCCATGGGACCAAACAGTTTTTACAGGGATTTTTTTTTGTCGTTTGTTTTGTTTTGTTTCTAGTGATTTCACTGAGCTTAAGAGTTGTTTGAATATTTAGGTAGTTACAGAGTAAAAGTTCTAAATGCTTGATGATGTTTTAGGTACCTGTTATACCAGCATGCATTTTGAGGCAATTCTTTACGTTTTCTTCCCAGATTTCTAGATGTTCTCTTCGGTTGTTGGGTTGCCACACACACTGCTCTCCCCACTGTATCATGAGTTCTTCCTTGTTTGAAGAGTAGATATTTCATTGTATCATTTTGAGGGAAGAAAATGAATTTGGGGGAGAATACTAGTTAAATACCAGGTCATGTGTTGTATATACTTTCATAATCAATATCGAATATAGGCCTGAATGTGGTCAGTCTTTGGCCTGCGAGGATAGGTTTTCATTGTTCTTGTTATTGTTATAGGAACTGGGTGGTTTTAATTTTTGTGAACTCAAGGTGAGAGACCTTCAAATAATTTATGCAAAAAATTCCTTTGGGAGGGAGGGTCATTAAAATTAAGTGCTAGTATGCTCTGTTGTTGTTTTTCATAACTAATCAGTATTGCTGTAGATACATAGACTTCAGTAAGACATCTGACAAAGTCTCTCCTTGTAAACAAGGAAAGCTGTAAGTTGATAGATCAAACAGTTAATGGGATTTCTTGCTGGTTTTGAGAGAGATTTACAGTGGCATGTCGCAGGCTTCTACCCTTGCCCCTAGTCTGTGAAGGGTACTGAGAATTTGGATAATGGGTTAGATGGGCATGTTTATTCAATGGTGGATAAGAGGGCTAAGAAGAATAACTAAGAACCAAATGCCAACTAAAGATTTTAAAAGCTGGGCTGGTCCCGTGGCTCACTTGGGAGAGTGCGGTGCTGGTAGCGCCGAGGCCGCAGGTTCGAATCCTATATAGGGATGGCCGGTGCGCTCGCTGGCTGAGCGTGGTGTGGACCACACTGAGCCAAGGGTTGCGATCCCCTTACTGGTCACACACACACACAAAAAAGATTTTAAAAGCTCACAGACTGAAGGATGAGTTGAAAGAGACTGAATGAAATTTAATTGAGTTCTCATCATCAGTTAAAAAAATTACTATGAAGTTATATACACTGGAGAACTGGCCGAGTTGTGGAAGAAATAGAAAACACGTGAATTTTGTGAGATTAACAGGAATTAGCTGCATATATTGTAGTGGCCTGAAAAAAGCCAAAGGTCACGGTTACAGGTGCCAAATGCATAGAACAAAGGCAGTATGGTAACTGCTTCTACCAAATTCTGCAGGAATGGCCAGCTCACATTTGGTATGTTATACTCAGTTTTTACTATTGTAGTAAAATGTTTTTATCATGTAATATTTGGTACATACAAAAGAATACATGTAAAATGTAAGTTATGAAGTAAATTAAAACAAATATCTAAAGGCCTTATTCTCAGCTTAAGTACTGGAACATTCTGAAGACCATTGAATCAGTATTTTCCTCCTCTACCCCAGAAGTAACCACTATCCTGAATTTGTTTGTCATTTCCTTGCTTTTCCAAAAACAATTCTTCTGTGTTATATATGTATTTTTAAGCACTATGAGTTTTTTGTTTTTGAATTTTATAAAAACTATATTACACTGTATGTAGCCTTTTGCTGCTTGCTTTCTAAAAAATTCAACATTGTTTCTATGATTCATGTTTATCGGCCTTTCTCAACCAGAGTTCTTCATCTGAACCACAGAACACAGAAAATAATTTGAATGGCTATTTTCTCAATTCTCCCAAGAATGGTATGTAAGTAGCTCCCTAAATTTTAGATGTGTAGGAGAGAAGTTATCTCGTATACAATGGATGCTTTAGCCTGGGCAATTAGAGCTTAATTCTGTATTGGAACCTGGTTGAGACAGGCCGAATTGGTATATGTAGCTGTAGTTCGTTCATTTTTACTGCTGTAAAATATTCCGTTTGTGATCAAACTAAAGTTTATGTATTCTCCTATGGATGGAAATTTTGGGTTGTTTCCAGTTTTTTTGTCTTATTATTATGATCTGTGGTGAACATTCTTGTACATATATATCTCTAAGTACAGATTAATAAATGTTTCTCTAGGTATACATGTGAGTGGTATTGCTGGGGACAGCTGCATTTTGATGGGGACATTGACAACTAGAGTGAGTCCTGAGAGGGGCAATTAAAAATAATTCAACCATGTTGTAACCAACTTTTATTTTCTTTATTGTTTCAGGGATTGAAGAGGTTAATGACCATTTGTCAGAAACATTTTCCTACAGATCCATCAAAATGTGTCGAGTACAATGCACTGTGAGATCTGTGTATGGTGTATAGATAATGATAAGAAACTTAAGGAAGCAGGGTACAGACTTCTGGAATTACCACCAGGAATGAGGGAAGGAGAAAACTGGTTTCCAGTTCTCTGATTTCTACCTGAACTGTGCTGGCTTTCATATCACATCTGACTGCAAACTGACTTTTGTGTCTTGCTTTCATTTTTGGTACAAAAAATTAACTCCTGGAGGTTTTTCCTTGCAGGTTAAGTGTGTAGACAGCAGAAGGAGGTTTAAAACAACCTTTTCCCACTGGACCTGAAAGTTGTACTTAGATGATTAAAAATGAACGTTTGAGGATGGATGTAATTACTTCTGTAAAAAATGATAATTTGCACATTGTCTTTTAAGTAGAATTTAAAGAAAATATTTTTATATATTTCAACAAAACTATGGAACCATTGAATGAAACTTCATAGTCCTTAAATGTTGCTTAACTTTTGCCATCTTGCAATAGAATTTGAATGTAAATGTTATTACTGTTAACTCAAGTGTTATTTTTCTTGCATTTCAGAGGTTGCTTTTGTCTTCTAAAGAGTGTAAATTTTAGTATTTGTCATTCTCAAGACAGCTAGAATTAACAGGAAATAGAAGTTTGAAAACCAAAGATGGTTTATTATACCAATGTAAGTTCCAAAAACGTAACCCCACTGCGTCAAGGTTCAAGGTGGGGAAACAGTGGTGAAGCCCATGGGAGTGGTAATTGTGCTGATGCTGGTGGACTGTGTTCTCAGCCAGACAGAGGAGGAAGGTGGCAGCACTGATGTCACTACCCCACACAGTATGTCCCGGCTCTGGTTTTCCACAAGTGAGGACTTGTTCTAGATCCTGCACGGTGTCATACTTAGATCATGGTGACCAATCACTGCCCTTTAGAAGTTGAGAAGGCTCAGTTAATAGAGTAATGGGGGTAAATAGGATGTTCCCTGACCAGGTGGAGTCACAGGAACAGACAGTGGTAAGAGTGGGGGCTCCAAAGTCAGAATTTCCCACCTTCAGATTTCAGCTCTATACCTGCTAACTATATGACTGTGGTCAAGTGACTTAATCTTGCTCAGCCTCAGTGTCCTATCAGTGCATACCTCATAGTGTTATTCTTATGTTTAAGTAAGGTAAAGTGCTTAGCATACTGCCTGGTAAATAATACGAGCTCAGTAAATAATAGTTATTGTGTCATTGTTGTTATTAGAGTAGCTAAAGTACCTCTCATGAGCCCTGTGGTTAGGGGTGTGTATATTCACATCACCATAACAACAGTAATGATGGTGTCAGCATGTGCACTCACATAACCATAACAGTGATAATAATGGTGTTAGGAGTTGTACTCACATAACAATAATAACCATGATGTTAGTGGGAACAATGGAAACACTATTAAGCATTTGCTGTACCCCGTCCTCTGGCTGCTTCCACTTGCAGCCAGTTCTGAGTCTAGAAGGGCAGAGGATGTGGTGGGAGCTGCAGGCTGCCAAGGAGGTGGGGGTGTCAATTCACAATCGCTTATTCTGGCCCCTTTGGGAAGGCTTTTGAAAGCCAGTTTTGGCCACTTTGGTCATACGCTGTGCATAGACAGGATCATTTCTGCTGCTTGCTTGCATGGTGGTAACTCAGGTTCACTGTCCTGAATTGAATTGGGGTTCCCTACCCCCCAACCCCTACTTTGAAAGCCCTTCTTATGATTAAATTAGAGCTTAGGGGAACGTACCAGTATAGACAGACTTAGGCCTAAGATATGACAACATTCTGGACCTTCATCATGTGGCCCTGTACAGGACTTGTTTAAAAATGCTATTGAATGAATACTCCCCAAATGACTTTTCTTTATTCACAATGAGGCCACAGCATGGTTGTCAGTTAATTTCTTGTTGTCTTCCCTTTTGCTGTTAGTTGGTATTCCACCTTAAGAAGAAACTGTATCGTGTGACACCAGTACCTCCTAAAACTGATCAGTGTCAATAGATGGTTTGGAAGAAGAAAGTCACATGTTCTGCAGGGCTGTGACTATTATTAGCCCTTTTAAGCTGGGATGGAGGGAGGAGGTTCAAAGATGTGGATCCCCTCAGGGAAGTTTTCCATTTCCTGAAATTAAAGATCTTCAGATGACTGCAAAATCATAAGGATATATAGAAAAATGACCTCCCTCATTATCAGAATCACGAAAATTTTAGTTCAGCAGATACTATGTATTTCTGGTTTTTGCTGTTTATAGAGCAATAAACAAATATCTTTTTAAAACTGTCACAACCCTGGATTATAACTATATTCCTCCCTTTCTTCCTCCCGACCAGGATTTGATCCACAGAGTTGTGTATTTCTGGATTCAAATTTAGTAAAACTGGTTTCACCTCAGAAGTAAACAGTGCATTTCCTAGGAGTGTCATTGCCAACTGCAAAGATGGAGCAGCATCTTTCAGCATTGCAGCACAGAGCCTGCGGCAATCTGGAGGTCTTGGCTGTGATTTCAGTCTTTGGGGGAAATTAGGAAAATAAAGCTGAGGCCAAAGATAATTGACACATAGAGAGAGATAGGACAGTCCGGATCTTGTTGGAAGAAGGGAGCAGCCCTGAGAGACTAGAGCGAGGCAGGCAGCTGTCACTAATAAGAGAACTCAGTGCTTTCCTGTGGGCTTGGAATGGAAAGCGAGAATTTGGAGGAATAGGAAGTAGGGTTGATAGCAGGACGACTTCTAATGCTCAGCTCTTCCTTCTGGTCATTTTCCAACCTACTCCAACACTTTAGAGCACCCTGGGGTTTGATCTCAGTAACAATTTAGAAATGCCACAGTCTTTGTTGGAAAGAAAGCAAGAATTTATTTTGAAAGTAAACAACTTGGAAAAGACTAAGGAAAGTGTTTCAGAATCTGGTAGCTTTGAATTTGGGGTTTCATATCACTGGCTCTTTTTAGCTACATAACACCCCCCACCTTACCCATTAATGCTTCTTAATATAGAAGGTAGTAGGCTGGAGTGACGCAGTTTCCATGAAAGGTAGCATTGAGATGTGGCTATTTCCTTTGTCTGAACATCTTGAAGAGTGTAACTTAATGGATTGTGCCTTCTCCCTCCCCCAGTACACTCCCATGAAGCCCCTGAAAGAATAACTTTATCCCATAGAAATTTATGGTACGGTATCATATTGGGAGACTTGAGCCCAAAAGCACTTTCTCACGGTGTGTTGATGTAAGAGTTTCCAGCTGTCCGGAGTGCGAGAGCCAGTGCTGGTCCCCAGAGGGTTGCTATGGGAACAATGTTATGGCAACTGGTTTTCATCACAGACCCTGCAGTCCCATAGGCTGACTTATAACCGCATGCTAGTATTTAATGGTTAACAGTAACCTTAAAATCTTTTGAAATTTAAAAATAAGTTCTGGTGGTGTGGAATGACTAGGGGAATGCAGTGTGGCTAGCAGTGCAGCTGTGGTATGTATGAGCTGACCCCATCCAAAATTTTGGAACCATGCTCATTAGAAAGAGTGTTTTTGATGTTTTCCAAAACAGCTTATTCTGAAAGCATTGATTATTTACTTTACTCCCCATTGTAAACTGGGGTACTTTAGACCACTTGCTTCAACTAATCCTTGTGTTGCCAATAATGGTTACTTTATTTAACTGGCCAACTTACTTCTGTTTAGTCTCTTCTTAAGCCCTAGCTTTCTCAACTTTTCCTCGCAGTATTCAGGCTTAACACATACTTTCACCATGGAGAGCAGCTAAGGAGGTTCGAGCTGCTTTTTGAGGATCGTTGGTGATCTCAGATTCATTCACTTAACTTGCTCTTGATGGACCGAGACCGTCAAGAGGCATTCCCGCAGTCTGCTCTCCCTGCCTTTCTGAACTCCGTTTTACAACTGGCTGAAGTGAAACTCTTTGCTGTCAAACTGCTCTCCCCTTAAGTCTTAGGAGACATTAGGACCCATGAGTATTGCAGTCTCAGCCTGGCTTAGAGTTTCTCCCATCCAGTGAAGTGGGAGAGTTGAAGCTGTAGTGTCTGAAACTTTTGGGCCACAGTTTACAGCAAACGCTAACAAATGAATCCAGACCCAGGATTACATACACATGTACAAACGTAACTGGAACAAAAGCACTTCCTATACTATGTGCGAGGCATTCTTGTATTTTCTGTTCTGTTGCTTTTCTTTAAACAATATGCTGGTCGTGACACACTAACTTGATTTTTAACCCATTAATGCATTGTTACCAGCAGTTTGAAAACTACTGCTTAAAGGAATTACCAGCAGAGTTAAGAAAGAAAATGACGTGTTCGATGAATTCTGGGCAAAAGGATCTATCTTTTTTTTTTAATACGGAGATAACACTTGGCTGAACTACTGCTTAAAGGAATTACCAGCAGAGTTAAGAAAGAAAATGACGTGTTCGATGAATTCAGGGCAAAAGGATCTATCTTTTTTTTTTAATACGGAGATAACACTTGGCTGTCAAGGTTAGTGTGAAATTGAGCAGATCATAAAACCTTGAGTAACTTCAAATGCTAAGTACTTCAGAAGCAATAATTCTTAGATTTAAAATGAGACTTGTCCAGAAGAACCAAGACAAGCAGCATATAAGCCATCTTTAAGGCTACTGGCAGCATGGCTGGCTGTAAATTGTTGGGTAAAGTAAGATTAAACAAAGTGTTGTAAAATAAATGGGAGGTCAGTTAAAGTATGAGATAGGGTTGAAACAAAGATAGGCAGAGGGAGTTTAGTGTTATGTATCAAAAGTGTCTGTTGAGAGGAAAGTGGTTTGTTCAGTCCTTTGACAATTATTTCCTAAGACTCAGGAAGCGCTAGATTACATTTCTTTTAATGTTTTTAATTGAAGTATAAATATATATAGAAAATCATAAAACACATCATGATACATTTTTCACAAAGTGAACATCTCCTAAAGTAACTAGCAACCAAATCAGAAAAGATAATGTCATTAATGCCTCAGAAATCGCTTCATGACTTATTCTAGTCACAGCTGTGGTCCTGATTTCTAACATCATAATTAAAAAAAAAAAATCTTTGTTGATATATAACTCACATTCCATAAATTTTACCCATTTAGAGTGTATAGGGGTTTTTGGTATATTCATAGAGTTGTATAACCATCTCCACAATGTTAAGTTTAAAACACCTTCATCATTCCAAAAAGAAATCCCATTCCCACTAGCAATCCCTCCCCACATAGGTTAGTTTTGCCTGTTTTTAAAATTTTGCCTGTTTATAAATGGAATCCAGCAGCATGCTTGACTTCTTTTATGTTTGACTTCTTTGGCTCAGTTTAATGCTAGAGCCCACATATGATCCATTCTACTGTTGACGGACATGTGGGTTTTTTCCGGTTTTTGCATGAACATTTCGTACACATTTCTTAGTGAATATAAATTTCTGGAGGGTATATAGCAAGGTGCAAAACTTCTGGGTCATAGAGTTTGTATATACTTAGCTACAGAAGATACTGTCAGAGAATTTTCCAAAGGGCTGATGCCAGTTTACACTCCCACGAGCAGGATTTGAGAGTTCCACTTAGGATACGTCCTGGCCACTCTTGATATATATTTTTTGACTGGTAAGGGGATCGCAACCCTCGGCATGGTGTGGTCTGGACCATGCTCAGCCAGTGAGCGCACTGGCCATCCCTATATAGGATCCAAACCCGCGGCCTCGGCACTACCAGTGCCGCACTCTCCTGAGTGAGCCACAGGGCCTGTCCTCTTGATATATTTTCTATCATTAGCCCTTCTGGTGGTTATAATGGTATCACACTGTGGCTTTAATTTGCATTTCCGTGATGACTAATAAAGTTGAGCACTGTTTTCATATGTTTAACGCCCATTTAGATATTATCATTTGCAAAGTTCCTATTTAAGACTTATTTTTGTCCATTTTTTCCTATTGAAGTGCCTGCCTTTTTCTTACTGATTTATGGTTCTTATATATTCTGGCTAGATATATGTATTGCAAATAGTTCTCCTGCTTTGTTTGGTAGATATAGTGTGAATATTTCTCCCACCCTGTGGCTAGCCTATGTGCTAGAGTACTTTTTATGCAATGGGGAAATAATCTTATGACTGACTAGCTCAGATATTGGCATAACCTTTGTCAGCTATCTTTGTCAGATTTTATAAAGATAAAATCATGTTAATATTAATGTAACTTTTCCTCTTGTTCAGTGATGTCATCATAATGGCATGCCTAAGAGTATAGAATTTGAGAGAAGAGGAAAACACATGAATTTCTGCACTTTTTGTTACACTTTAGTTTTTTTGGATTATTTCATTAAAGACTTAGCTATTTTTTATTTTCTTCTTTTGTGTGCAATTTTATTTACCCTATATGTGTGGTGTAGACACTGCTAGTTGCTTACCCTATTTTCTTTTTTTTTTTCCTTTTTGTCTTTTTTCGTGACCGGTAATGGGATCGCAACCCTCAGTGTCACGCCCGCACCGTGACTGGCAACGGGATCGCAGTCCTCGGTGTCGCGCCCGCACCATGCTCAACCAGTGAGCGGACCGGTCTCTACATGGGATCCGAACCCTCGGCGGGAGCGCCGCTGCACTCCCAAGCGCTGCACTCTACCGAGTGCGCCACCGGGCCGGCCCTGCTTACCCTATTTTCATTCTCTCTCTCTTTTTTTTTTTTTTTTTTTTACTAACGGCACTTATTTGTTCAGAGCTGCACTGTGCACAGTTAAAACAGTTAAAAAGATTCTCTTCCAGGACTCATTGTAGTTAGGGTTGGTCATGTGACATGGTTCTGCCAATGAGCTATGGATAGATGTCTATTGGGTGGAACTTCCAGGAAAACTATTGCTTTTATAAGAGAAACTAACATACATGTTTTGCCCTTTCCCTGTGGTCATGCTGCTTAGATGCTTGGCAGCCATCCTGTAGTCTTGACAATGAGAGGCACAAAAGATGGCAGAACAGCATTCAAAGCCTCATTCTTTGCATTGTGGAATCATCATATGAAACTTGTACTGCTGCATTAGGGTTCTTCAGAAAACAGAACCAATAGGAGATAGAGACAGAGAGGGATTTATTATAAGGAATTGGCTCATGCAATTATGGAGGCTGAGAAGTCCCATGATCTGCTGTCAGCAAGCTGAAGACCCAGGAAAAGTGGTGTAGTTCCTGTTTGAATCCAAAGGCCTGACAACCAAGAGAGCCAGTGGTGTAAGTTCCAGTCTAAATCCAGAGGCCTGAGAATCAGAAGAGCTGATGGTGTAAGTTTCAGTCCTAAGGGAGGAGAAGA